AGGTTCAGAAGAGACCCTCCCTAGTTTCTTGGGCAGTAAAGGGGGGGAGGAAAGAAATTTAAGTTCTGACTTGCAAGATTCTGTCTATGTAGCTTTATAATAAAATAGAATTAGTTCATCTGGTTGTGTTTCCTATCTGGTTTGTCCTGCAAGGCTGACAACACCAGTATGAAGAGATAGTCCTTTAAAAGGCATCTAAAAGATGTTAGGGTAGGCATTTTGCAAAGAGCGGGATCTCCCAAATGAATAATCAAGCAAGTCTATAACAGTCCCAAGTTATTTAGTGATCTATATGTTATTTAAAAAACCTTGAACTTGGTTCAGTAAGCTAATTGGCAGTCAGTGCAGTTGCTTCAACTGAGGCGTAACATGACTATAGGCAGGTATCCCATTCAGCGACTTGACTACTGCATTCCAATCAGCTACAATTGGATCAAATGCAAGGGTAACTACATACAGCACAATTCAGTAATCCAAAAGCAAGGGTACTGATGTGTAAACAACATTAGCTAGGCTCCCTCTGTCCTAGTTGCTATACCAACAATTACTATGCTGACCAGAGATAACAGGCAATCTCTGGCTGCACAGGCCACCTAGGCCTCCAATGACAATAACTTCAGACACATGCCCAAACTACTTATCACTTTCTGAGGAAGTGCAACCCCACTTAGAATTCCTATACTCACCCACCCAAGAGCTGTCCATCTTCTCAGGATTCAAACTGTTTATTACTCCACATCCTACCCCATCACTCATTTAGATTCAGAACACATACAGCCTATCCTGTATGAGTATTATGGAAGGGAACTGAGTGCACTGGCATACTGATTACACTTAGCCCCTGAACCCTTGATGACCATCTCAGCAGCTTCATATAGATGTTAAATAATATTGGAGACAAAGCAATGATTTGCAACACACTATAGATTGTTGCCAGAATGCAGACAGTTACCAGATACTATTCTGTGAGATATCTCTACAAGTAGTAGATTCAATTTAGTATAGTCTATGCAGAGATGATCCAGGAGAACAGCATATCTGATGGTATCAAAAGTCATTAACAGACCATGCAAGATCAATAAAATAACACTTCCTCTGACTATCCTGCAGGAAGTCCTCTACCTGGCTTGGCTGATTCTACCCCAAACCAAGTCTGAACCTATATCAGGGCTCTCCAAGAATAACTACAGCTGCACAAATACAGTACCACATTCTCAAATACAGTCATTTACTTTAAAAAGGGGGGGGGATTATTACCAGATTGGCAAAAAACTCTGGTCCCAAAGGGCTTATTCAGGAGTGAATGGATCAATGCTTCCTTCAAGGCTGACAGCATCAGTCCATCATGCAGACATGTTTTCACTACATCTTGATTCACTCAGATAATCCCCTTTGGCTATATCTCTTAAGCCAAGATGATCAGGAGACAAGACAGTATATGGTAGACCAGACATCTACAAGTTTCTTATACACAGATTTCAAAAACTGAAAACAATTCCATACATTAAACAAGAAGAGGTACTGGATACTTCTGTATGTAATGTATTGAAAGCAACATTCCAGTCAACATCAATACAAGTGATTCATCAGGCATTTCAGAAACTTGTCACTGAGCTGGATTCATTATTATTATCTTCTTTCCTTTTCTGCATTAACACAATAGCCCTGGCAGATCCGGAAGCTTATCTGCCCTTCTGAAATGTTTTTCAGGAGAAGTGAGAAGTGGTGAAAATTCGTATCAGACAATATCTAAGCCTATTTTTTAAACAACATTGTTACTTGCTTGTTCTTGATGGCTGTAAACAAGGAAAGCCTAACTTAAGCTGATCTTTGGGTTTCTGATATTTGTTCCTATTACCAAAAATGTCCATAGTTTTCAGTGCTATGATTTTGTAAAGTTACAGGAGAAAAACATGTTTGCAAAGTAATACTGCCAAATGTCCATAAAGTAGATGACTTGTGCAAAAAAGGCTATAGTGTTCCTAAACAACAAGCCAGTGTGTGCTTGATTCCTCTTTAAGAACAAACGAACAAAAAAGATGTCAAGGTTTTGTCAGTTGTACAAATCAGACAGACAATGAAGCCTACTTAGTTTCTATGTCTGATTTTAGAATTAGTCTAGCTATTGTAGGCAATCTTATTTTTCAACTTCTAAGCATGGAACTTAAGAGAGAGCAAAGTTTGGTGTAGTGGTTAAGGAATCAGGCTAGAAACCAGGAGACTGTGAGTTCTAATCCCACCTTAGGTACAAAGCCAGCTGGGTGATCTTGGGCCAGTCACTCTCTCTCAGCCCTAAGAAGGATGCAGTCACAAACTACTTCTAAAATCTTGCCAAGAAAACTGCAGGGACTAATCCAGGCAGTTGCCAGGACTCAACACTGCCTGTTGAGGGCACACACACACACACACACACACACACAGAGCATGGAACTACTATTTCATGGCATTGCTTATGGGTGAGCAACCTTTTCCCAGTCTGAGACTGTTCAAACTAAACAGATGACAGTCTAGACACAGAACACTCCTAGTACTTATGTGGACTTTAATGTATTCATCACAGGCTCTTCATCTCCCTAATTTATCATTTCTGAAGATTGGAGAACCCAGTTTTTGATGCAACAAGAGGCTGCCCTGATAAAATAAAATTACAGATTTCTTATGGTTATTAGCCAAGTCCTGGAATAATTCTATTGCAAATTGTAATTTCATTTGATGATCTATGTATGGACTAGCTCAATTCCTGCAAAATCATCCAACCACAGACAAGTCTTTTAAGGATGGACAGAACTGTACACCCTTATATCACTTCCACAGCACCTCAGTGTACCTGACTGATAGGAACAACACCGAAAGGTCACAAATAAGAAAAGGGAGGATCTCTGTATATTTTCGCACCAGAAAAAACTTATTGGATCATTCGATTGCCTTCGTTCAGGCGTGAGGAAAACCTGCTGCTCTCTATTTTATCGGCGTACAAAGAGAACGGAACCCAAATATTCATTCTTTGCTCACCGGCGAGTTTAGGATGGGAGCGAGGACAGACTCCTGGTGACGGGAGAGCAAAGGCCTCACTCGCCACCACAGCTCTCCTCGCTCATTCCTACGTTTGGTCCTGCAAGGCTTTTCTGCCTCGCCCAAATCGCGCGCCTACTGCACTGCAGGAGCAAGGGACAACCGACTGCCGTGCGACAAAGCCACCCCCACCCTCCCCAGAAAGGAAATGGCCGTAACGGGCTCGCCGACGGAGAAGCGAGAGGAGGAAGAGGTCGCTGCGGTCGTCGTCCCCGTCATAAAGCAGCGTCGTCGGGGGAAAGACGGGAATTCGCACGGCATCTTCGGTACCGTACCTCCGGGTAGCGGCGCCCCGGCATAGGCGCAATCACACGAAGCGTTCCCGGGAAGCCCCGGCTGGGAGAAAAGCGGGGCGAGGAGGGGAACAGAGGGCGAGCAAGCCTGGGAGGCACAGAGATGGAGGGGCGCAGTTAATCGACCCGGCGCGCGGCAGCCTCTCTCGCAACCAAGGCGGGAAAGGCTCCAAAGGTGCCTTCGGATCGCGCCGCCGCCTTTGTCTTGCGCCGGCAAAGGCTTCGCCTCCCGAAGGCTCAAGGTGACACCCCTCGGCCCGTCGGGGCGCTCACCTGGCACCTGCAGACGATGTCCGCGTCCTGCGCCAGCAGATCCACCACTTTTCCCTTCCCTTCGTCGCCCCATTGTGCTCCCAGGACTACAGTGACTTGGTTGCCGGGATGCCGGGAGGCGCTCCCTCCATTAGGGATGGCGGCGGACGCGGAGCCGCTTTCAGACATGGCTCCCGCAGGCGAATGCTCCCTCCTCGTTCGCAAGACACATGCGAGGAGGAAAGGAGGAAACGGCTCGGCCGGCGAAGGCGCCTTCTTCCCCGCCTTCTCATACAGAAGGTACAGTACACCGTTGCCGCATCCGACAACTGCGCTGCCCGCCGCCTATTGGTCATTCTTCGATAGCCCTCTTGTACGCGGGATCAAGAGACCCGCCTCCTCATTTGCATAGTCTGAAAAGGCCGCCGCTTCGTGCCCATATATAGAAGAAGGGACTACGCTGCCCAGGGTGCTATTGGGCTAACTTCGCCGCGGGTCGTCCTGGGAAGCGTAGTTTTATTTTTTTATTATTTTTTTATGTATTTATCATATTTATATAGCCGCCCACCCCGCACAAAGTGACTCTTCGCTGTTCGTCTCGCCCGAACCTGGAAAGGAGCGACTGGATAGGGCTGCTAAAGAGCGGTTTCCCTATTGTAGGGGAGCCTTGTCAGTCGAGGGTAGCATAAAAGCAGGAGTCGTCTGGTAGCCTCTTTCCCGCCTAACACGTGTTATTCACTTCATCAGAGGCAAGACTTAACTGATGGAGGATTTCAGTTGGGATGGGGGGAAGGGAGAGGAAGGCAGGTTGCTTATGCAGATGAAGGTAACGTGTGAGACCGATTACAAATACCTTAACAATTCTAATATGTTAAAAAAAAATGTTTGTTGTGATGTGAGTTCAGCAATCTCTCTCTCAATAGTGCTGTTCAAGTCTCTTTTTTCCCCCTTTGAAATCTGCAATAGAGTGCCCTAGGAAGTTAAAAGGCTCTGGTAATTACTTTGTCCTTGTTTTGAGTCCTGATGCCAAACTTGTGCCCATGAATTCTTTTGTGCAAAATTTGTCCTAGGTAGAATTCAAGGGCACTGCTGGTACCTGCTGGCATGTATCTCATTAGAGGTAGAGCATGTGACTGCATTCTACTGTGATCTCAAAGGGACCGTTTTGGAAATAATGAGATTTAACAGCACCACAATTTATTAACAGATATTTAGGGGTGTTAATCGCTCCCTTTTTGACCTCACTTGTGCAGACCTATCCTTCGTTGCTGCTTAGCCTGTGGTTGAGCAAGGTGGGAGCTAAGAGGCAGCATAAATGAAGATCTGGGCCCTCCAGGTGAGCTCTACAGCTTGAACCTCTATGAAGAACATAGCTGTATTCACACAACATGCTAAACCATAAAGCCACATTTTACAAACCACATTGGCTTGGTTCACATGACACATACAGCCACAAAGAGGCGAATCAAATTTTGGCTTAATGTGTTATAGAAACTCAGTTTAAAAGTAACACTTGTCAGCCACCTTTTTACAGTCAAATCATCAAAGTCCCTTTTTGTCCCTAGTGAATTCCACACATTTTCACTTCTTTAAAACAAAGGTGGCCAGCGTCTATGGGTTTTCAGATCTTGTTGAACAAGATCTCTTATCAGACATACCGTTACTGAGGTAGAATAGGAGCTGAAGTTGAACAGTGTATGGAGGGCTACTCATTGCCTACCCATAACTTTATGAGGTGCACATTTGAACTAATTAGGTAGCTGTTCACACTTCTGGAACAGGATAATGCTGGTAATAGATTTATTACTTGTAGAAAGTACAGCTTTTAATGCTCAAACACCATCTGAAGTGATGTGTAATTATTGGGATTATTGCACAATGTGTATAAGAATTTGAAAAACAAAATGCCGTATTTCAGAAAGAAAGAAACCTACTGATGGAATATTGTATGATGTCTTTCTTTTTTACCAATGTTAGTACAATATTGAAAGCCTGTGGGCTGTATGATAATCTCATGGACATTGTGACATCTTAACATGGAGCTGAACTTTCCGAAAAAAAACATGCTTGGTAGGGTGGAAGAGGACAACCTAGTGGGGTCTTTTGTAAAGATGAATAAAGTGTAGAAACATTTCATCCGCCTATCTGCCAATTTTCCTTTACAAGTGCTTTGTAAAATGTAATATTTCTGCACACAGATTTGGGAAAGTATCTGCTTGAAATTGCATCTAGCCGCATTCTTTAGAGTCTAAAGTTTAGGCAGTAGTTGATTATATGTTATGACAACTATCAAGATAGGAAATCTTTATTACTAAAATGTGAAACTATGTCCTTACAAAATTCTGTGACAATGTATGCCATTAATATGTCATTAAATTTAATCATTCTGGGAGAAAAGGGCAGTTCAACATTTACAGTGTTACGTTTACATCTAAGGTAAAGCTGAAACTTAAAATTTTATAACAGACCAAAAAATGACTAATCAAAGATTTTGAACATTCACAAAATAATTAGGGTTGATCAGCAGGAAGCAAGATATTTAAATAATAAATCTCAGATTATAATACAGAGGTAAGCATGCTAAATTTAATCATGGAAAGCCCTGTTTTTTGTATCCTGTTTTTGTTTTATTTTCAGGTAAAGAACTAAAGAACTTTTGTTTGATATTGTATTTTTCTAATAATAATAAAAATTATTTAAAATACCCTGACATCTGTAAAATTCATATTTTCAGTTTAATTCCTCAGATTATTCCTAATCCCATTAATTTTTTATAACAGCAAGGTAGACTACAGTTTGAAATTTGCATACAGTTTTCCCTATATCAAAGTTTGGGAATGTAAATTGTTTCCTGGCTCTCCTGTAGTCTGCCGGTTCAGATAATTACCCAGCTGTGATTTATTTAGCCAAGAGAAGCTATAAAACTTCTCCATTGCACATAAAGGGCACAGCAGCAACAAGCAATGGGAAACACTGAAGTTTGTTTTCAGATATCTTAGGTAATCATACACTGGGCAGCAGAAGTCACAACAAGATGAGCCAAAACCCCAATCTGGTGGGGAAGTCATGTCAAACCACAGGCCAAGGGTCTTCACTAACACACATCAGCCAGAGTAAAAGAGTTACTTCCAGCAACCTGACACATCTAAGGGAGGGTTTACATACTCCATACTGAGCCCATGCAACTGAGAGCCACCAACCTTCTGGCATTGACACTGAGTCTGTGTCTTTTCCGAGGGCTGGGTGGTCTAACTTCCAGATAGGGCAGGTCTAGGCTGAGTCAGAAATTGGTTCCACAGCATCAGGACTGCTACAGCTTGCAACTTTCCTCTCTTTACTACCATCCAGCCACACTTCTCCAGTCCGAATGACTTCCCAGTGTCCTCGCTGTAGATCCGTGTCAAGTGGTCAGGTGAATGTCTCATTCACTCTTAGCATATAGCTTGATGTCATCCATGTAGAGGAGGTGGCTGATGGTAGTTCCATTCCTGAACTTGTATCTATTCACAGTCCTTGTGATTATATGGCTGAGGAGGTTCAAGCCTATGCAAAACAGCAGCAGGAATAGTGCATCACCTTGGTATATGCTGCACTTGATGGCCACTTGCACGAGCTGTCTTGAGTTGACTTCCAGGGTTTTCTTCCACAGTTCCATTGAGTTCTTGAGGAAAGTCCTTAGTATCCTGTTGACTTTGTATAGTGTCAAGCATTCTGAGATCCATGTGTGTGGCATTGAGTCATAGGCTTTCCTGTAGTCAATCCAGGCTGTGCTCAGATTGGTCTGCCTAGACCTTGAGTCTCAAGCAACTGCTCTATCTATGAGCAACTGGTGTTTTGAGCCTCTGGTGTTGTTCCCAATGCTCTTCTGAGCTGTGCTCATGGACTGGCCCATATGGTCTTGTAGCTTGGTGGCTATGATGCCTGATAGAACCTTCCTTGTTTTGGGGAGGCAGGTTATTGGCCAGTAGTTGGATGCTGCTGTTCCCTTATGAGGGTCTTTCATAATCACCACTGTCCTTCCTTGTGTTAGCCAGTCTGGGTGGGGGCCTGCTGCTAGCAGCTGGTTCATCTGTGCTGCTAGGTGTTCATGCAGTGCTGTTAGCTTCTTTAGCCAGTAGGTGTGGATCATATCTGGGCCAGGTGCTGTCCAGCTCTTCATGTTCTTGACCTGCTGTTGGATGTCTGCTAC